ATATATATATATATATATATATATATATATATATATATATATATATATATATATATATATATATATATATATATATATATATATATATATATATATATATATATATATATATATATATATTATCGCTGCTTTTTATTACGTACAATACATGACGTCATTGCATTTTGCACGGGAGAAAGTCGCTAGAACGATGTTTCTTCGTAACGATCTCAATGCACTATGTTTTCCAGCACGGACGTAATACCGGTAAGAACATTAAGAGTTGATGAAAATTAGCGAGAATTATAAATATACGCACACAGTAATATCTTCCGGAGTCCGCGCGTAAGCCGCTTATTGCACAAACAATTGCAAAGGCGGGATTCGTATTGTTAACAAATTCCCTTTTACCGGATAGTTCATAATGACGCGAAAGCGCTTTTTAACTGAGATGCAAAACGCAATAAGGAAACATTGCCGACTGTGTGATTCTTCGCTGACATCGAGTGTGTCACGTATGCTTAGAAGTAAAAAAATATTTTATTATGTTAGTATGAAAAACAAATGTAAAAGACATCCTAATTTTTAAGAATTAGGTTAATTTTAGGTTAAAGTTAAAATTATTTTTAAATCATAGATTAGGAGTGCGTTCGGGCAGACGTTATAAGTGCTATTTATGTTATTCTATTCTTAATTGTTTTGTGCCTAATGAATGATGAAGACAGAATTAACAAAATAAACAAATAGCGCTAATAGCATCCTATAGAAAACATTTAAGTGAGAAAATGTCTTCTTCTTTTTAACTGGCTGAATTTCCGATTCCTAGATTAGAATCGCAATACTAGGTTCATCGTATGATCACTAAAAGTAACCAGTTCAGTATATCATAAATAGTGTCAAACGTAGTTATATGAATGAAGCTTCGATTGTGTCCAAATCAGAACGGGAGCACGTGACCAGTTTTCTCCAATCTCTTCCATGCCTATGAAGCTTTGACTGCTTCCAATTAGTTATTCTCTCCTTGAAAGACTCTGTAGACACCTTAGTGTAGATTATTTATCAGTTATGTTTCTAAATATCCGTTTAGAATTATATTATGTACTTTAAACAAATATTATAATTCTTGTTAAAACATTATAATTGATTTCATTTGTTGATAAAAGCATATGTTTTATTTAATATTGTTG